TTCCTGTTATGTTTTACTTAATGTTTCATTAGTATGTGATAGAATTTTTTTCAAAAAATAATAATTTTTTTAAAATGTGGTAAAATATGGGCTAATGTTTTTAACAATTTTAAGTAATCTATAAAGTGTTACTAGTGCTACTTGTCAGGTTTGAGACGATTTATAAAACTTTATAATGTAATGTGGAGCTGCCATCTTTGAGTTTATTTCCTTAACCCAGTTTTCTTTTATTCTTGTTTTACGAATAGAGAATTGGATGATTTAATTTAAATAATAATGACATGAACTGAAAATTATTTAAGAAATAAAATAAGAAAACTAAGTTGTTGCATTATTTCTAATTTTGAAACATAGCATATGAGTGTTTAAATTATGAACTTAAATGTAAAAGAAATAATTTTTGTACTTACGATAATATAAATGATTTAAACAAATTATTAATGAAAGACTTTTTGTTGAACGTATTCTAGGATGAAAGTAAAAAGTTACGATAGACATACGTATAAAAAAAATGTTTATTTGGTAAATAATGCAGTTATAACTACAATGCTTACATTTTTATTTGCGTAAGACTCAGCTCAATGAACAGTTAGAAGATTTAAAAATACTTTTATTCAACATACTAAAAGTTTGGCAGAAGCTCTGTATCAAAGACTGAAAAAGTTTCAATTGTTTTATGAGCGTTACAAGCGCAGTTTTTCGTCATGTTATCAAGGCAGAGGAGTTTTCGTCAATAAAAGTTTTAACCACGTTACGATTACCTAGAATGCAAAATTTTCAATAATTGCTTTGTACAATGAAAGTAAAAACAATGAAAGACAATGATTGACAATGAAAGTAAGAACTTTTGTTTTTGAACCATGGAATCATAATTTAGTTTATTACATGGCCAAATAGAATTTAATTACCTTGAATTAACTACTTTGGTGTTCAGGCGGGCAGGTGGCCGAGCGGTTAGCGCCCCTGAATGCGAAGCCAATGGCCTCGGGTTCGAATCCCGCTCTGGGCATGGATGTTTCTCTATCTATGTGTTGTCCTCTGTTGTGTGTGATGTGTGAATGTAGCCCACCCTATAAACGGGTTTGTGGCAGTGTGGCGTGGGTAATGTTGCTCGCCTCCATGACTTTGGTTCACAGGTGACTGGGTAACGTGAAATGAGTAACAATTCCGTCATCTTCTAAGGCGAAGAATAATTTTCAGTGCCTGCCATTTGAAAAAAAAAAAAAACTTTGGTGTTCAGACGAGTACCAGTATTTCCATCATGGTATGGTCGTTTACAATCAATATCTCTTTCGGTTTCATTATTAAGTTCACTTTGGTATTAATTTTTTACTGGGATTTTTATACAAATAGAGAAGAACGGTCAATTAAAGTGAACAATTTGGAGGCCAAAAACATTTATTGTACAAAACTTAAAAAGCTAATAAATTGTAATGTCAACGGCTTCCGTTGTTCTCCGGTATTCAAGCTCCAGAGTACTGACCGTACCCGAAGATGCAGAACTGAGTTTTCCTTTTTTATATGGTCTTTGACATTAGTGACCTCAATTTGTTTATTAAGTTTACTCTACTTTTAATTTTTAGTTTAATGCATTCAATTTCTAGGGCGAATTTAACTACTGAATAAGAATTAAAAGTTTACTATGAGAGCAATTAGTTAAAAAAAAGTTGATTTAATTTGGAGATAGTCCCATGTTACAGAGCCACACATTTCTTTGCAGTAGAGGTTGTTAGATCATTGATATAGGGAACAACCTGACTGGTTAAAATAAAAACTTCCACCACCTCTCCCGACATTTAACTTAGCATTTTTTCGATGCAAGAGCTAAAAATTTATTTTAAATTTCTGTTACCGATAGTTTCTAATCATAAATGCTGTCTGTTTTTAGGCATTTTTTTGTCATTTATTTTCCGACACAGGTTAATGAAATATTAATTGTCTTTTTATTTTACACTCCTCAAAAGTGAAATTGCAACACCAAGAAATAATGCACGTAGCGTCATGCAAATTTCAGGAGTGATAGTAGTGAGATGGATATGCAAATGATTAAATTTACGCACGCATCTGATCACGTGGTACGCATATTCGGGCTATAAAGGCCAGCAACTTTCTTTTCTCATAAACGGCATCTGAGGTTTTGCGTAGCATTTGCGACTTTCGAAAAAGCGTAGAAAATGCCTCTGAGACGTCGGCGAGCTCAATACCATCAGTTAACGACCGGGGAACTTGACCGTATTATCGAACTCCATGAACTTGGTTTGTCGCTGCGCGCAATAGCAACTCGTGTTGGGCACAACGTGAGTACCATCCAACGTTGAGTCACACAATGGATTCAGGAAGGTCTACGTGCACGCCGAAGAGGAAGTGATGCGCACAGGTGCACGTCAGAGCGCACAGACCGGCATATTCGCCAGTTGACTATTCGAGACCCTTTCTCCACGGCACGTGCCATCCGAAGCCGGTTGCCTTCAGGAGCAGGTGGATCTGTGTCCACCCAAACCATACGCAACAGATTGCATGAAGTACAGTTACGTGCACGGGTACCAGCAACAGGGGTACCGTTGACCGCTTTACACAGGGCTAGACGCCTGGCGTGGTGTCATCGTCATCGTACCTGGACCATCCAATGGCATCGGGTATTGTTCACGGATGAATCTCGTTTCTGTCTGTGGAGAAATGACGGCCGTCGACGGGTATGGCGGCGACCCGGAGAACGCTACGAACCAGCCCATTACGCCGAGCGTCACAACGGTCCTACACCGGGCATCATGGTTTGGGGTGGCATAATGTTTGATCGCAGAACGCCCCTGGTACACATTCACGGCAGTTTGACAGCGGACCGCTACGTCACACAAGTTGTGTATCCCGTTGTTCTGCCCTTGTTGCAGGGCGCACCCAACACGGTATTCCAGCAAGACAATGCCAGGCCGCATGTCGCACGGCGAACTCTTAACAGCCTGACTGGATTTGACATCCTTCCCTGGCCGGCAGCCTCTCCAGATCTGAATCCCATAGAACACCTATGGGATCTCATTGGACGTGGCATGAACAGAGGACCAATGGCGCAAACCATCGATGATCTGCGCACAGCAGTGGATGTGGCTTGGCAAAGGTTACCTCAGGCAACCATCAATGGAGTCATTGATAGCATGCCTCGCCGGATTGAGGCCTGTATAGCTGCCTGAGGTGGCCACATTAGATATTGAATAAATTGCTTTATAATGATTTTATTAGTCTGTTTTTTTAATCATTTGCATATCCATCTCACTACTATCGCTCCTGAAAATTGCATGACGCTACGTGCATTATTTCTTGGTGTTGCAATTTCTCTTTTGAGGAGTGTATATAAGAGATCAATTTTTTAACTCATAATTTTTTCTTTCATTATCGCCAAGAAGCAAGATGCGAACAGATGTTGGAAAGAGTTGCAGAGTGCTGGAGTAGACAACGCGTGTTGGGCAGAGCATTTTAACTGTTTCGTTTTCGTAGTAAAACTTTTGCTTCAATATTTATAATCAAGAAAGGGGTTGGAACGATATAATATGTTACTATTCTCTGTTCAGCGAGAACTGATAGCGAAATTGATACAGTCGAGAGATAATTGACATTTCCTTTGGCTGATTGAAACCAGAGGTTTATTAATCAGCTCTAATTTGGCCAGTGGCATGTAAGAATATAATCGCTAACTAAGTAACTGTCGGTAATGTTATCGAAAAACAGATATATTCATGTTTAATTTCGCTATCGCTTTTCTCGTAACAAAGTATTGATCTGCTCATTTTGTATTAGAGAAAAACATCAGTTCGTTAATATCTATGGAAAGTGTTTTCTTTTGACGTTCAATTGGAATGAGGCAAATATTTACCAGTTAGAAGTTAACTTTGCTGCGTCACAAAATGAAACAAAAAATCAACAGCTATTCTTAGCACCTATATGCTCCTTCCATTCTAAATTCAAACTAGCTTAAAGTATTAAATTTACAATTTGCACTTTGTTCAGCAAAAATTGATTGCTCAAGTAAACAAAGGATATTCAGCATTACATTAGGCTGATTAATGTCAGAGTTATGACAAGAAGAGCTGATCCCGTTAATGATTGATAAGTAAGAAAAGAGCAGACGATAAGCACCTACCATTTATATTTACTGTCTTTTTCTCGCTGAACAGAGTAGGGATCAAAATTAGCCTAAAACTTCAGAGTTACTATTCCTGACCAATTTTTACGCTGAGCTTTGAAAAACGTTCTATCCAGATTTATTATACTTGCAGTGTTTTCAATATAAGGTGTTTTTTTCTTCAATTTGGCTTCTAACGAAACAAATAACAACCCAGATAGCAAAATAGGGTTTATTTTCACTCAACAAAAACTTTTTAATGTAAACCTAAAAAGATTTGTCCTACGGTTTACATGTAAACCTTCTAACCATAAAACGAGATCTGTGACAATCTGCTCTATTCTACGCACATTACCCTAATCCAAATTCTTGGAAAACAACCTTCTGTATAAGAACCCTAAATCGAGATTGACTTAGGGTTTTCAAAAGCTAAAAAATCCTTAATAAAGCTAGTACCAAGGTGAAAATATGCTTAAATCTGGGTAATTATGAGGTTTCTTTTAGCAAAATCTAGTATGCTCAGCTAAAATTCTCGTTGTCATGAAATTTTGTTGGACAATGCAGTTTGATCCCATCGCTAGTGTGACGTCAGCTAAAACGTCATTATTAAGGCCCGGATTGCCAAAGACAATACTTTTAAAAAAATAATATTTAATCCCCTTTTAGGATGAAAAGTTTGAAACTGCAACTTTGCTTCATTGAAAAAAGGTTTTTAGTACAAACATTTTCGTGACAATAAATAGAAAATTCAGATACAAAGTTGCCGTTACATGCTTTCTGGGAAATGAATTCGGAAGACTCCGCAAGCTTGCTGAGCAACCACAAAAAATAATAAACGGTGCTATTTTACACAAATATAACCAAATAAGGGATAATACTCAAACTGTGGCAAACCTTACACTTTATTTATGGTATTATTAATTTTGTTATATTTTTTTTAGGCTCGCGATCTGTTAGAATTCATAAATTACAGAAAAGTCTCATGAACTGTAAAATTAAGGACAACAAAAATCACAATAATAAGGGTTCCTGGGAGTATGAAGCTTGTTCACACATCGCCGCGTAAGCATAACACAAGCGGAGGAATACACCGGAAATTTTTCCATATTTCTTCCAGTTTTAGGAATCTTGTTATTGTTTACATTCAGTCAACCATCCATAGATGCCAAGTAGAGGTTAGTGTACAGAACTCGGTCATTGAAAATGTCAAATTCCATTTAAGTCGATTCTTGATGGAAATTAAAGTGTGTGTGGAATTCAACACTATTTCCGAAGACATCATGTGACGTATACAACACGAGCTATTCATCACCAGTTCAAGGATGTTCTTGATGAAAAAAATGAACATGATGATTTCAAAACGTGTCACGGATCCAGAAACAATGCTATGAATTAATCGGATCTTCCACTAAGTGTTGAATCACCAGAAAACTCTTTCCTCAAAAATGTAATGTATCCATAAGATTTCCCCATATCATCATCACCTGTGCTGGACGATGTCCGACGGAAGAGTCACTGGATTCAGCTGTTGCATCGGAGTGGGAGGATGAATGATGACAGGAATGGTTTTTGCCTCCTCATTTTTCGTATCAGCCAGTGTCCAGCTTTCTTTAGGAGGAGAATCTCGTTCCACAGAAGACCTAAAATGGAACAATTCTTTATTTACAAATCTGATATCGGGCATTCAATTAAACTATTAAAATATTGATTCAAACTAGAAGTTACACTTCTTTCTTTTGTAAAATTTTTTACTTTATCCTTACATCAATAGTAAATGATTTTCTGCAATGAACAATAGGGTACAAGCAAGTGACGTAGTGTGGGTATCTCGATCCTGATGGGTTGTTCAAATGTGGCATTTGTTTACGTTACGCTCTTTCCATTCCGTGTAACCCGAGCTTGTCAAGTATCAATTTTCTACATGACACAATCTATATTCCTTCACAGAGATTCTTTCTCAGAGATTTTAATTTTTTTACTATGTATTTCTCAGAGACTTAACAGAAAGACAGGTACGAAGCCATGTGGAACATAAACAATTTAATTTCGAATCGAAGTAGCCAGGTGCACAAAACAAAAATACGTCACTGTTAGAATAAAATACATAAACAAATAATAAATCTAATTCAAGTGAAAGATGTAGACGAGGAAGAATCATATTTAAACTAATTCGATGCGCAATACGGCTCTACAGAACCGTATTGCATATCATTGTGTATTCAATAAACATTTCTGTGTATTCAAATAACATTCTAACTTATGAAGAGAAACTTAGCTCAACTTTAATACACCATTTTGCTGATAAAGATTGGCTGGTGCTGATGTCATAGGTCACATGTGTGGGTATGAGAGGTCTCATTCTTCTTGAAGTGCAAGTACCCAATTACAGTCAATTTTTATTTTATCTTAAGGAATTCAGAATCACTCAGACCCCCATTTTATTACAGCTTTAAATGTGTTAATTATTAAGTTATTTTTTATTAAAAAAAACCCCACTTAAACTCGTTTTCAGTTGGAGCGAGAAGTCACGTGATTATTCACGAGCTGACGTCACTTGTACCCAACTGCTGTGTTCGTTTATCAACGTTGTGCATCAAAAGCCATTACGTTCTAGCCCTCGTTTGAATTTTCGTAATTAAATCTAACTGTTTTACATTGTAAATAAATTTGTCATAACAAAGATATGTTTAGTAAATTATGCCTTAATGTAGCTTGATGTTATGTAATGTTATAATTAGACAGTGGATTATATGCACTAAAAAACGGACAAAATATGCATGCAAATATGCACTAAAAAACTTGAATATATGCACTAAAAAACTTGAATATATGCTCTTAAAACTAGAAATATGCATTTAAAATAGAAATTAAAAGATGAAAAAGAACTTATTTAAATACTACTACTTACTTTTTTCAACAAACACAGCTAAAACATTTTTTTGTTAAAACGAAGAAAATCAAAATATTTCTTACTTGAATCTACACATTTCTGAAGAAAAAGTCTAAAACTGAAGTATGATAAATGAGAGAAGAAAAGATTTTATTAAACTGAATAATTTGTGTTGCAATACACAACTAAGTGTTTTTCCAAATTTTCAAGGGTGAATTGATGTCGTCGGTCATTAAAGATCATTTTGAAAGCAGAAAATGACCTCTCCACGTCAACCGATGTTATTGGACAAAACTTGTACAATTTCGTACTCATTGGTTTTACTTTCTCTGGAAGTTCAGTTCCGTTTCCATTAAGGAAATCATTTGTCCATTATAATCCATTTTTCCACAAATAAAATGAGCAATATAGCGACAGCACTTATCTGTCGTCTCATCGACTTCAATCCATATAGGGCCATCTCCAATATCTCGTCGAATATCGTTATATATCGGTTGAAGGTAGTTCATTCTTAAAGTCGATTCATCGGGAATGATCTGATTGGTACAATATTTTTTTTAAAAACTGTCATAAGTTTGGATTATTTAACTTTTTTAAAGGAGTATTGCTGCTTACTAAGGCTTTGCATAAATCACTAGAAAAATCACTTTCCTTTTTAGCTGCTTGAACAGGAATAGTTAATAAACTTTGAACAAATCCTTTTGTATTCTGCTTTTTCTTCGCGGAGTGAGCATTATAATGCTTACAGTCAACATTGTAAAGCCCAACATTACAATCAATATCAATATTATAAAGAATAGCAACAAACAATTGAAACATTATTAAAATATTATTTTAATGTAAATAAGTAGGAAAAATTTATATATTTCAGTTTAGAAAGTCAGAAAACGAAGAATATTTTACTGTCTTGCTAACACACATATGTGTGTTAGCAAGACAGCAATCAGGTGGGACACACTGCCTGCCAATACACGTGAGCCTTTCTGTCATCAGTGGTAATACCAAAAATTGACTCTGCTTCCGAAGCCTCATAATGGATAAACAAACAAGAGAATTCAATTAGAAAAATTGAAATGTAAATGCAATGAAATATTAATGGCAAACAAACACAATTTAAAAGTACACAGAGATTTAAAAGTACACAAAAATTTTCATCGGATTATACGATAAAAGAAGGGATTTTAAGTTTGATGTTATTAGTTTAACAAATTTTAATTTCAACCTATACTTTAAGATTTTTAAGAATTTTTTGATTGGTTAAATTATTAGGTTTAAATTCAACTATCGGGAATTTCAAAATTACATTAGAGAATAATAATTTGCCTCTTAATTACTGTAATTATGATATTTTAATTTAAAATATTTTAAAGACGTTCAAATAATTCGGCCGATATTGAAGCCCGCATAAATAGGCCTACGTGGTGAAATTTAGGACTTTTTGTTCCTGAAGCATATAGATGACAGCACTTTTTTAGAATTTTACTCATTGAATGTTTTTCGTTTTATTTTTCAAGATTTTCAAAAGGGGTCAGCACTTGATTTATTTCTAAAGTTTTATTAATGATTTGGCAATTTATATTTAATTTTGATTTGGTTATTCTAACTATAACTTTATTTATTCTTCTTATATGTGGGTGTTTCATCATTAAGTCTTACTCTGTGTACTTTTAAATTGTGTTTGTTTGTCATTAATTTTTCATTGTATTTACATTTCAATTTCTTAAATTGCTTTTTCTTATTTGTTTATCCATTATATCGGGGTCAGAGTCAATTTTTGGTATTACCACTGACGACTGAAAGGCTCATGTGTGTTAGCAGGCAGTGTGTCCTGCCTGATGAAGTACTGACTTGCTAACACACATATCTAAAAATATTCTTTGTTTTCTGCTAGAATTGTTTTTCTAAATTATTTAATTAAAATAAGACAAATTTGGTTTCAGCTACTTTTAGCGCTTTTCCATTTTGATTTATTATTTTAAATGTTATTAACTTATTTTGTCTTTTTCTGAATTTGTGTAAATCAGTTTCATTTTTTGATTGTGTTTCAGTAAAGTTTGTTAACTTTATTTCAATGGCATTAAGCTATATTATAAAAGTATTGAAATCAATAATATAAATTCATTTAGTTTTGCTTAATAGAAACAGGAAATATTTCTCTATTAAATACATGTAAAAATAATATTTAGTCATAGCGAAATTCCTATTTACTCAAAAGTAAAAATAATTAGTTCGACAGTAATATTGATATCTATTCTCAAAATGAAAATGTTGAGAATAGATTTCAATATTAATGTCTAACTAATTATTTCATAAATAATAAAAAAGCATATTGGAAATTATTTTCTTTTTTAATGAAGGTTTTACTTTTATCTTTAAGTCTTAATAAAACAAAAAATCAAAACCTAATGATTCGCTAAAATTATATGGATAGAGTAAATGATATCGAGTGAAATTTGGAGCATTGTGGCGATGATGCACATATTTATGGAAGTAGTACTGTTTCGTTTATCGATGATTATTATTCAATTTAAATTAATTTAATTTTGAGCATCAGTACATTGATTGTGGCGATGACGGACATATTTATGTCTTATCAGCGATAATTATTTAATGTAATTTATTTTTCATTAAAAATGTTAAGCATCAATTATATTATTTTTTCTTTGCAGAGCACTAATAAATTTCGTTTTGTCTAACAATGGTTTTTTAAATATCAAAAGACTTTAAAGAATAACACGAGACATTTCGAAATTTTTATCCCTACAATATTTACATAGATAGAATGACGGTAAGTTTAATCGATATACTAACGTGATATCGATACATTAGTTTCATATGCTAGTTAATCGATAAACTAGTTTCATATCTGGATGAAAGTTTTAATGCCAAGCAAAATACATACTTGAATCTTTTTATAACTGAATTTATTTTCAATGACAATTTAGCTCATACCAGAAAACAAACATTTTAGAACATGTTCTAGATCAAAAATATCTTTTAAAAAAAATTTCTGATTTAAAGACAGTTCGAAGAGCAATTGAGCAAAATGTAATTTTTAAGGATTTTGCATTTTATTCAAATTGCTTTTAAGTCGACTTATAAAATACTAATACGAAGAAAAATAATAAGAAGAAAAAATGCAAAAAACGTTACCGAATGCTTGATGTGTTTTGTTCAGACACTTTAATTTATTTTATAATCAGTATTAAACAGCCGACCCATTTTTGGGTATACGAATCTCAATGTTCAACTCAGGCTTGTGATTTTGAGCCCAAACCAGAGATTAAGGAAACTCCTGGATCACAAGTATTGGATCAAAGTAGCATTCTCGGACAACTTTTTGATAGATTAAACCTAATGTGATGATTCACATTAAATGAAGAGGGAAACCACGAAAACCTCCCATGGTTAACCCGTTGACAAGGGAATCTTAACCTATGATTCGTTTACCACTGAGGACATTTTACGTTAGCACTGTGATTGGTGGGAGATAGGAAATTGAATATATCAGCCACCCTGGGAATCGAACCTGGCATTGAAGAAGTTTAAAGAATTACTTTTAGATTGATTTGTATTTATGGTAAATCGTAAAAAAATATTCAAATGAAAGCATGATGCCTTATCTATTAAGATTATTAAGGATGTTCACAAGGCTAAACAAAACTGCTTTTATGTTGATGCATCCGTCGCATAATAGTTAAAAATTCTGGCCCTTCGTGAACAGGCTCCGTTATTTCGTAATGTTCCTTTATTTTGGCTCTTTTATTATTCTAGTGTTTTTCTGAAATGGTTGATAGATTTCAGGGCTACACTGTTAAGAGCCCTTTTACCTTTAGGCTAATTAGAAAAGATACAATTCCATGTTCAATTGGTCAGATTTGTTTTGTGCTGTTTGTAATAAGCCCATTCTAGTAGAGGTTTAACGCAATGAGCCGTGTGAAGTAAAGATTTATTAAAATAAAATCAAACTAAGGAATATAAGTCAAAAATAAAAACAGTTTTGCATGCAAAGTGGCTAAAAGAAAACACGGTTCATAATAATTAGTCTACATGAATCAAGACAGATAGTGCAATTTTTCGCACATTTCCTGACTAGCCTAAAGGTGCATGAGCTGATTACGTAAAGCCTAAAATGTGCCAGAATTTGTAGAAAACACCGGAGGTTATCCTGGCATATCAGGCTTTTTGTAGACAGCGATAAGCCAACGACATATCTTACCGGCTAGAACTGGATATTTTCCTGAGTTTGAGGATTATTTCGACAGAGAGAAGAAGGACGAGGATCCCCAGGACGATGCATGTCGGACCAATCACCAGCCAAGGCGTGGGATCATCCCGCGGCCCAGGAACGAGGAGACCAACGAAGAGGACTGCCAGGCCCAAGGAAAGAAGGAGGGAACCACAGACGAATATACAGATGAGAGTGCTGCGGGTGGCGGCCCTGTGACTGTCGTTCTTGATGTCCCTGTCGTTGATCTTACGCCGCATGTCGTGCTCATGGGGCATCTCATCCCCGCCACCCTCTCCTTGTCTTTGTCGCTGATACCGAAGCAAAAGCATCACTGAAAAATTGGGACAATTATAGTCAGTTTTATAAATTAAAGACAGATATAGTTTGTCTACGGAAAGAACTCCCCCACGCCACAAAGTCTGCTGCTATGGAAATAAAAATAGCTCATTTCAGGGAGGCTGGCTTCACTTCCCTCTAGGGCTAACATACTGGACCGAAGAAAAAGATTCCCTTTCTCTCGCAGATCCGACCGAGTCAAAACTTGTCCTAAACAATGACCCTACACCCCTATTTGAAATAGTCATACCTCATTACCATAGAAACGGCCACAGTTTCAGACGATTGGCTAGGGGAGTTCTTCTTTTAGACAAACTATATAAGAAACCTAGTTCTGCATGTAAATAAAGGTACTGAGAAAAAAAAAGTTGAAATGTGTAAAATTTCGATGAAAGTAAAATAAAATTTATGACCATAAACAAAAACATTAGCCAGAGTAAACATTTTGCGAAACTGTGGTTACTGTGGTAAGATATGACCACCCACCTCAATTCTTAGCTCTTACAGCATACGTCTTCTGAGTACTGCTCTTTAATAATGGTTAAAATTCCTGTCTTGTTACATGTAAGTTTGATTCCTGTCGCAGTTATTTTCAAATTTTGTTTTCTCTAACTTGAAAAAAATATTTTGGCTTTTTATTTCAAGTACATAAATTAAAAAATAACTATGACAGCTTGTTTGGAATTTTAGTAAGCACTTTTTAAGCTGAAAAATGTATAATTTTTTTCGTTTGAACTGATATATTTAATTATTTAAAGAAATTCAATAATTCATTTTAATTGTTTGATGTTTTTAACTAAAGAATATATTTTTATAAAAGGAAATAAATTCTAAATATTTATTTTAAATTTATTTAAAAAACTGATTAAGAAAATTTATTATTTTTTCTTTTTGAAAATGCTCATTTTTTATAATTTAAGTAAATAAAATGAAAAGCAAAAATCATTTTTATTCGATAAAAAAAAGTTTATTTCTATTTGATAAAAATTATTATAGAGAAGTAATAAAATTTCCAAATAAAAATATCCAAAGATTATTTTTATTTTAATTTTTTAAGTGAATAATTTTTTTTTCTTCTAAAAAAAAATGATTAATTTTTTTCCAGTAAAAATTCCAACTTAGAAAAAATTTCCCATCTGTTACAAAAAGGAATAATTAAAAAGTGATGTTATATGTTCACCACTTATGCTCATGATTTTCCTGTTTTGAACTAAATTTATGTTCAATAAATATTTCTAAAGACAAGTATGAGTGATATAAAAAAAAAACACTGTACTCATTCTTTTATTTGAAAAGAACATAGAGTCGAAATAAGTTTAAAATATCAAGCTCTTTCTCTTTTCTTTTCCTTTCTTTTCTTTTCCTTTCATTTCTTTTCTTTTTTCTCTTTTCTTTTGCTCAAAAGAAAAGATTCGTTGCAAAGCTGAGAATTTCGCATATTTTACAACTAACCTTTGGATTATAGGAGTCATGTACTGGTGACTATTTTTCCGAGTTATCGCCAAAAGCAACGTTGGTCTCGATAACCGATAAGTGTTTAATTTTAATATAGCAGTGCTTAATTTAATAAAATATTTTATATATATTTATATTAAAATTATATTAATTTTAATATAATTTTAATATAAATATATATTGTGATAGTTTAAAAGGGTAATAATTTTATATTATTCATACATTGGTTAATAGTTTCGTTACTTAAATGAAATTTATCAGCACTCCCAATAACATCATATACGATAACTATCTTTATGTGTAATATTCATGATGTTATTTTTTCAATATATTAGTTATTGATAAAGATCTTTATATTATTGTATTCGATAATCATTGTTATTAATAATGATCGCGATATTTTCCAATTTGTTATATATTGTTTTCATTAAAAATCGCGCTACTACAAAATTTGGATGCACTTATGTGTTTTATCGGTAGTCGATGACCTACTATTTAAAAACCAGAATCTGGCGGGTTTCTTCCAACTAGGCATCATGGTACCTATTAGCAATAAGTACCAAGCTGAATGCTCTTCCACACACCAGGTACTTTACCAGGCTAATCGGTACTTTGAATCATACCAGGATGAAAAGTTGCTTCAACCATAACAAGGTGTTAAATTCAACCATTTTTTGATTCAATTTGAACCATAATGGCGGAATTTTAAATGATTTCACAGTGAAATGTATGTTCAACCTTAACATGCTGTTAAATTCAACCATACTTTCGTTCAAATTAAAGCATAGTATCAATTGCAAGAAGTTCACCAATATAGTACAATTTAGCTCAATATTAAATTTCTAGAAATTTGGACCCTATTATGATTTATCATGCTCCAAAATTTCTTACAATATGTTTCGCCAAAAATATAGATGATGGAAGAGTACTCTTAGCTTGTTCCAAATGTTCTGATAAATGACAATAATAGTAAAAAAATATAAATGATGAAAGATATAAACAAAATAGAGCATAGAACAGGAAAAATAATAAAAATATAGATGATGGAAGAGTACTCTTAGCTTGTTCCAAATGTTCTGATAAATGACAATAATAGTAATAAAAATATAAATGATGAAAGATATAAACAAAATAGAACATGGAACAGGAAAAATAATAAAAATATAGATGATGGAAGAGTAATCTTATCTTGTTCCAAATGATCTGGTAAATGACAATAATAGTAATAACAATATAGATGATGAAAATATAAGCAAAATGGAATTTAAAATAGGAAAAAAAACTTTTTTTCTAAAAATAAATAGAGTAAATATTAAAATTAATTAGTCAGGTAATGTGTTTGAGACCCAATAGAGTAAATTAACTTTCCTTTCCATTTTACATCTTAAACAATGTTTCTACGAATGGGTTTGTGGTGTAATCAACATACTAGGTTCAGGTGCCAAAGTTAGTGACCTGACGAACTTCTATGCAATCTTCTATGTATTCTCTGTAATCTTCTTTCTGAAGTGTAACGAAATGAACTGAATTTTAAGTGGATAAAATGTATCTATACCACTGTGAAATTTGGTTCTTTCTCTCTTTTTGCGGTTAGCTATACACTTTATCTTATGTTCTACGTCTTGGATTATAATCCTGGATGATTTTTATTTTGCTGTAAATATATTCTTAAAATTATGTTTAAATTTCGCACTTCTCCTTTATTATCGTTGTCGATTGATCTATTTAAAATTTCAGGATACGCAACCTGTCTCGATATGGGTTCACCAGAGCTGGTGAACCCCACCACTGTTCACAGCACTTAATCAACTTTTAAAATGCGTTAGAAAGAAAGAAAGAAAGAAAGTAGAAGAGAAAAACCGTCTCTTGAAGGTTACTAATCGTGAAATGTGCGGAAGAGATCGTTCTTTTCATTCTTGGCACAGATGCAGACTCAAAGGATGATGATCTTTCCTTGATAGAATTAAAAAAAAAAGGTAGAACGGAGGTGCGATGAATTGTGCGAAGAAAAAAAAATACCTGGCAAATATCCTGGGCGCATTTATTTACAAAGGACTAAATATAAAATGAGTTAAAATGTTTCCTAATATAAATAAAAAGAAACTTTTCATTTCAGTTACATTTGCCTCGTGTCAAAACTTGTTAAGAAAACTATATTTTATTTCCCTACTTGCATGGAATCCCTCGAGACGCAACATAACGAAAAACATTTGGTATCATTAAAAGAAAAAAAAATCTCATTTTAAGATTCTTTTCCTGCTTTAATGTTTTTACAAAATCTATCCCCGTGAAGCCATAATTGGCATTACATATATTTAGTAGCTCTTAAAATATCTTTAATTTCTTAAATTAATTTTTTAACATTCTTAATCGAGTTTTAATTAAAATGAACCACTTACTTAATTTTCATAACTTTTTATAAAAAGCTAATATAAATATTTATTCTCTTCTTAAGAATGATAACTTTTTATTTCAATACAAATAACTCTCACTATTAACAACTATCTACTAATAACACCAATACAAGTATAACTTATTAATTCACTGTCGCGACTCAATCAAAAGCAAATTCTATTTATTTCTCCCCACAAAAATGTTTCAGTTACGCGGTAATACTAATGCTCACTATCTTTTTGGCGACCAGCTTTCGCCTAATAATTTTCAAATTTAATATTGATTACGGGGAGTTAGCTTTGTTTTCGGCTATTTTATCTTTCGATAAATCTCCAACCAAGCTCCTCGATCTCTTCCAATGCTCCTAACTGTCCGTTGAGAACAATTCACTTTACCTTTAATTTTGAATTCTGGCATTGAGACAGGGATGCTTCGGTCTCTCAGCTTCAACCGTTGAATTTTTATCTTTACAGAAATTCTTGATGTTAAGAGAATGGATTCTCTTGATCCCTTTGAGAAACTTCCTTTCATTTTTTCCATATTCCAAGTATGGCCAAATTCTCTAAATAATAAATTAATTTTTCTCAAATGAATTTGTTTATTTTTCTGAAATAAATATCCCTTCATTACGCAAATAGATTAGAGTTTAACATAAAATACAGTTATGTTAAATTTCATTCCATAACATTCTTAAAAATCGGACTTTGTTTCAAGAAATGGTACATTTTTGTAAACCACTAACAGGGTGCATTACACAAGAGCTTCTTTTTTGAAAAAAGAAAAAAAAATCGCACTTTTGGCCAGTGACCGGTCAAAAACGCACCATCACTTTACGGATACAGTGTATTTCATAAAACACTGTGATCGGTGCGAGACTAGAGCAGGATATGAATTAACCAGCAATCACCGGGACTCGAACCTGGGTCTCTTCCTTGGGGAGGTGAGTGCTCAAATATTTTTATATATTTTTAGTTGCATAATTTCAACTGTTTTATGCCAAAAAACAGCAATTATTGCGACGCAATCATCGGTGTTAGTGAGTGTCAGGGAACAGGGGGGCTTTACCCCCCAGTAATGTTATAAAATACTTACTTACACTTTTGCTGTTATCCACTTTTTTGTTAACAATATCTTTCATATTTTCTTTAGTTTCGAGTAAATGGCAGCACAAACCATAGGTGGGAAAACAACTGCTTCCCATCGATATTTGAAAATTATTGGAAGTTGATTTAAAGTTCCACNAAGCTCCTGGATCTCTTCCCATGCTCCTTACTGTCCGTTGGGAACAATTCATTTTACCTTTAATTTTGAATTCCGGTATTGAGACTGGAATGCTTCGGCCTCTCAGCTTCAACCGTTGAATTTTTATCTTAAGAGAATTGATTCTCTTGATCCCTTTGAGAAACTTCCTTTCATTATTTCCCAAATTCTCTAAATAATAAATTAATTTTTCTCAAAGGAATTTGTTTATCTTTTTAAAATAAATATCCCTTCATTACGCAATTAGAATAAATCCCATATCGCCAAAATATCCGTAATACTACAAAGAAACTACATCCACTATACAGTACGGAATTTAAACTAAACTACTATGAAAATCAACCAAGTAGTTGGATTTATCCTCGTTGATCTAAGTTTTTTTTTCTTTGTTACAATGATAAATTATAAGAAAAGGAAAGGAATTCGACTCAAGTGAAATTTCGAACAGCTTTATGGCATATAAATATCTTACTATCTGAGTATAGTGGATTATTTTTCTTGATCGAAATGTGAAGAAATACACTATACAAAAAATGATACATTAATATTTATCCTTGTTTGTGTAACAATTGAAAATAACTAAAAAAGTTAATCTAGTTTAATTTATTGATTTTTTAAAAATATTTAATCCCATTTAAGAATTTTTTTTCCTCGAAAACCGCATAATAACATTAATGACATTAATTTTTAAAAAATAAATATCGAATTTTGTGCTAGATCTGGTCTCGGATATTAGTGGTCAACTAATTACTGTCACTACGGCACTTCAAATATCGTAGTTAGGCAAATAATATGTTAGAGTTTAACATAAAATACAGCTATGTTAAATTTCATTCCATAACATTCTTAAAAATCGGACTTGGGTTTCAAGAAATGGTACATTTTTGCAAACCACTAACAGGGTGCGTAACATAAGAGCTTCTTTTTTAAAAAAAGAAAAAAAAAACCCACTTTTGGCCAGTGACCGGTCAAACACGCACCATCACTTTACGGATACATTGTATTCCATAAAACACTGTGATCGGTGCGAGACTAGAGCAGGATATGAATTGACCAGCAATCACCGGGACTCGAACCTGGGTCTCTTCTTTGGGGAGGTGAGTGCTCAAATATTTTTATATATTTTTAGTTGCATAATTTCAACTGCTTTATGCCAAGAAACAGCAATTATTGCGAAGCAATCACCGGTGTTAGTGAGCGTCGGTGACCAGGGGGGCTTTACCCCCCAGTAATGTTATAAAATACTTACTTACACTTTTGCTGTTATCCACTTTTTTGTTAACAATACCTTTCAAATTTTCTTTAGTTTCGAGTAAATGGCAGCACAAACCATAGGTGGGAAAACAACTGCTTCCCATCGATATTTGAAAATTATTGGAAGTTGATTTATAGTTCCACTGACAGCCGATTTAAGGTGTGTTTTGTACACCAAATTATCTCAACAATGAAACAATAACACCGAGAAAAAGTAAGAATTGATTCCTTTTTTCGTATTTAATGCCATTATGCCATGAAGTGGGCTTCGAATAGAGATTTATGGTGACAAATCTGTCAACAAGTCGGCTATCGTTGTTCTAAATCAGCTATCCACTGTAGACTTTACAGTTTTTGAGGAGTTCTCTTCTTAAAAATAAAAACTATCAGTCTATGCAGAAAAGTGACATACGTGTCTGTCATTAGTGTCAACAAAAAGATAAAAATGGCGGAAATAATATTTATTTACCTTCCCTCGGAAAAAAGCGGAGGGAAAATATTTATTCGTGTACTACCACCAGCAGTCACTCAAGGTTGGCGGAGAAAATTTTTTGGCATCTCGCCGTTTTGACTGAATGTTATCACATACGGAATTATTATTTTCTCTGTGGATTTCTCGAATCTCCCCCCTACAATTCTGGAAATATTGTCGATTCCTTTCTTAGTTTGTTCCCTCTTTTTCTAGTTTCTAAAAATGCTCGTCTTATTAGTATATAACATTTAAATGTGACCTGATAATATATAAAACGCAATTTACATTAAATAAAAGTAGATGAAATTGGTCATCATTATTATCATCATCCTGGTGCTACAGCCTTTCAACAGCCCTGGCCTTCTTTAAAGTTTTGGATTGTTCTTTTCTGTTGATTGCATTTTTCTTGAAGCTTATAAATATGAGTAATTTCAGGTCCTCTTCAATTTTTTTCCCCATTTAGTTCTAGTGTCCTCCTGTACATACTTGGCTTTCTGTCAAGTATTTTTCTGCAATATTTTTTTTCCCGAATCCATTTGTAGGATGTGTCAAAACCATTGAAAACTTTTTATTCTTATATTTGTTTAACTATTGGGTTCCACATATTTACTATAAAATCTTTTAATTTCTACTGATCCTCCAATGTCCATCCACATAAATTACGCCGAAAATATCTTAATGACTTTTAGTAAAACTGCTTCATATCTCAGCTCCACATAACCCCAAGGGTCAAACTTGATCAGTTAGAAACATATATTTCTTGCACTGCATTAAAGTTTGATTGTAGTACATACAAATTTAGTTATAAGGACATGATATTCCGTAACAATTTCTTTTAATATACTGCTTTAAAATTCTTGTTAATAAGTACCGATTACAAATTGCACATCAAGCGAAAATACATATTAGAAATTGCACATCAAACAAAAATACCTATCAGAAATTGTACATCAAACAAGGATAGGGTAAATACTCTATCGGAATCTAACGAATTACTTGTGAGGAAGGTAAAACTAAAAACATAAAATTTTTGATTGGCGAAGGAAGAAAAAGGAGTTGAGTGATGATTTTAGAAACACCTTCATGTTTCCTTAAACTACCAACATAATTTTGATGTTTTTCCTTTTACCTTACTCTGCAGCAAAATTATATACATAAAATAGCTATAAATATTAAAAAAAATATCAAAAAAATGTCTATAAATATTTAAGCTAGGTTTATGAAATAATTTCATGCAGTTATTGTATTTAATAACCAGAATAATCGATACGAGTTACAAGCTTATTGCTATATTTTTTGGCATAGGGTGTTCAGAAAAGCTTTTTTTTCGTTCATAATTTAGTGCCCATCATTCAAACCTCTAAAGGTTTTTAACTTTATTGGTGAGTATGAGAAATCGCACACCTAAAAAACTCTAAAGTTATAAAACAATTCCTTTAGCATGTTTTGAGAAATATGAATAAAATATCAAAAACTGAAAAGGTCTCTTCCATTATTATAGAGCAGTGTATGTTAATGATATGTAAATAATATTTTCCACCAATATAAGAAGATAGTATTTTCATATTTTTAAAGTTTTCCACAAATGTGTGATTTGATGTTTTAGAATAATTTTTAGGCTATATCAACACAATTACCATTTCATTCTGTATTAAAACGGCAAAAAACGACAAAGAGTTTTCAGTATAAATTTCAAGTTGCCGAATAAAACAAATAAATAGCACGGCAAAATGCAACGTTTCTATAATTTCATTATTCAAAATAAATATGCGTGACAACAATATAAGGTTTGCATACAAAAACTAATAAAATAAACTCGCATGCAAACAATATAACGTACAATTTTCGGAAATTTGGAAATTTATGAATAAAAAATAAGTAAATAAGACAAGTAAATGTATTTTCTTTTATATCAGATTATGTTATTAGTAATGATACACGATTTTTCCTATCATTTCTGTAAAAAAAAATAAAAAAATTGATTTGCATGTTCATTTTTTTAAATTTAATTTTTTAAAGAAAAAAAATTACCTATCACAGTTTACCCTTAAAACATAAACAAAAAAGAATATATATATTATTTTCTTACGTAGACATTTGATTAAATATACAAATGTAATAAAAATTGGAAATAATGAATATTGAATAATTTTTACATAACTTAATAGAAAACAATGTCTTTATTAAGTAACTAAATGATAGATATTAAAAATCTGTTAGCAACGGCCATTGTTTATTTTTCGCTGAAAATAATATTGTTCGATAATGATAAATGAATTACCTTTCGACGATCTGAAGTAAAATCATAATCCAAATTTTTTGGAATCTTAACTTTTAGTTATGTCGTTGCACATGCATGGATACTAAGTTTTATAAAACAAGTCGTACAAAAATCTCTGCAACTCACGATGTTTCTTCGTAACCATTTGTTTGGTTTATTTTATTTTATCGACCGCGACTCACACGCGTTTTTTGTTCAGCATAGAGACGTTCAAAAACGCATAGTGATAAATATATCGCTGACACGAAAAGGGTCAAGGCACGCTTACAGGAAAATTTAAAACTGTTCTTAAAGGACACAAAATTTTTCAAAAAACTTTTTTTTTGAGGAAAATTTTCTTCAAGCTGGCACAGGGAAACGATAAATTGTGAAGCAACGTTATAAGCACCAATTTTTTTATTGTGGAAAGTGAATGTAAATGTTTAAAGTTTTCATAACAAAACAATACAAATTATCTCTTTTCTGTTTAAAGATGGCAACAAGAAGAAGTGCAAGCATTCTGGAGTTCTCATAAAAGGTAACTAGAATATCGGTATAGAGCACATCTTTCCAATGTCATCTTTAAAAAGTAAAAAGATATTTTGTGACATGTTGTTATGACAAAAAAACGGTATGCCATATGTATGCAATGTTACCTCATAAGAGAAATAAAATTTTTCCGTTTATTTAGCAAAGTAAAAGCGGTATTCTGTAAAGAGATATTTTGCTACATATTATAAAAACATAAATGGTATATTATATACAAGTAATATTGTCTCATAAGAAAATTTCCTATGTTTTTATTTGTGTTGTTTCCTGTGCTATCCAATATATGAGCATCAAACTGCGAAATTTTACTGCATGGAAAGGACAAATCATAAATCATGTGTTAGTTAAGTCAAATAAAAAAAACTTACTTTTTTGAATTAATAATTGTCTTTTTTTTTTTCTCTTTGAATTTCAGAACTCAAAATATGAAGGGAAACTTTCCTCATTCAGGAAATTATAGTCTTAATAGTAGGGAAAATTCCTTCACAGTAAATTCTCTTTTACATTCATCCTACATAAATAATTTAAAATTAAAAGCCCAGAGAAACGCGAATTCATGTAAAGCAAGAGCAAATCATGATGTTTCAAATGTTTTCAAAATGCAACTGAAATATAGACGGAATTGCTCAGCTATGAGAAAGTTATATTGCAATAATGCATTTTAATAATTTGACTGCGAATTTTAAAATAATTTCAGAATACCAACGCAGGTGGAACGTACAAAATTTACCATGAAACGTTTCCCCCGAGGTGAAGCGTCCCCTTTATACTGAGGACAAAAACAATAAAACGAGATTAAGTGTTGAGATAAATGGCACAAATGTCCTAGGCTTATTATATTTATTTTATAACCGTCGTTGAACAGCAGACCCAAATTTAAGTTTACGACTACTAATATTCAACTCCTTGTCATTTTGAACCCAATCCAGAAGACAGGGGAACTCCTGGATCAAGTATTGAGAGAAATATGCCTTCGTGCATGATTTTTTGATGGAACTAACCCCAATTTTAGCTACATAGATAGGGAGACCACGAAAACCTCCCTCGGTTAACCTGACGGCAAGGGGACTCTAAATGATCTGTCTACCACTGAGAATATTTAACTTCAGTACTTTGTTCGATGCAAGCCGGATGCGTATCGATCAGCCATCTCTGGGATTCGAACCCGGCTCACCTCATTGGAAGGTGAACACTCTATCCCCTGAGCCATCGCAGCTTCCCAGCGTTATTAAAAAATCCGATTCATTGCAAATGTCACCGGTATTTTGGGAAAACCTTCAGTATTTACTAATTAACCTTATGCTTATTGCAAGCAGCTTTTAAACTAATTAGGAAATGAGCGAAAATTTACGCATATTAAATTTATTTGGGCTTATTGCAATAAGCCTTTAAAAAGGCTATTTACAATATTGCAATAAGGCTATTTACCTATTGCAAACTAATACGATAACGGATAGATACGAATTACGCACCAGGCTCGCACCGATAACAGTGCTGACGTTAAATATGATAGACGAATCATGTGTTAGAGTCCCCTTGCCGTCAGGCTAATCGTGGAAGTTTTTTGTGGTTTCCCTCTCCATGTAATTTGAGTTAGTTCCTTCGAAAAGTGCTCCACGAAGACAATGCTTGATACAGGAGTTCACATGTTTTCTGGTATGGATAGAAAATGACAAGGCTACGGAATTGAACATAGATAGTCGTAAAATATTGTTCAACGCCGGTTATAAAATAAAATTTCCCAGATATATGTGCTGAACGCAATAAGACTAAAGAGTATTAGGCTAATTAGAAAATACTGCAGATTGTTCCAATAAGCCTGTCACATTGCAAAATTATGGTGTCTATTTTCAAAGAGCCGGATTATTCAATTAGTCAATGGCATCAGATAAGTACGTCTAATCGATTTTTTGAAGCTACCATAAATCACCAATTAAGTAAACTAAAATTTATATCAGAAATACGTAATAATAAAGTCAAATCACTATCAAATTTAAATTTGAGTAAATTCTTTTAATAGAATTAAAACGAAAATTGACATATAATAATTATACGATAAATTTCTATTTTCAAGTACTTCATTAATAAAGCAAACATCAAGTATTTACTCAACTCCTAAAATATCCTCTATTCCCAAAAGTCCAATTAATTCTGCAGTAATTTCTAGGTTTATCACACCCACTTTTCAAATTTTCCAGTTTTTTTGTATATCTAGTCAGAT